CAATTTTGTTATACGGAGACAAGTAGCATTAAGATAACTCCCTTGTTTGGTAAGATACGTGTAATTGCTTTTTTTTAATTATGTGGGCCATGCAGCTACGCATATATTTGGCTGGACCATCTCTGGATATTACGAATGGCTGCGATGATCTGAGACAATATGGTAAAAAAAAAAGATTACTTACAGGCTGATCCGATTAAGAGGTTCGATCTTAGAGGGCGGAGAGCCCGAATAAATGGTATTTTGAGCCCAGTTTATCTTTTTAATCGAAAAAAATCTGAACTTGGAAGTTGATCGACTATGCGATAGGCGTCACTACTAAAAATGCGCCCAATGATTTTGACCTGGAGCTCCAGGTTTCAGATACTGACGAAATTGCTTATGTGAAGTATGTGATAGAGGAAATAACCAAAAGCTTAGCACTCACCTTTCGAGTCTGTTCTCGCTGTGCCGGTGGGACGTTGGACTTTCTGCCTCGCTTCCTCACAGGGGGCATTTTCCAGTCACTGGGGTCTGGTCTTGGGTTGGAGTTGCCAACTGTGAGTGGAATGACATAAAGCGGTTGACAGGCAGTTGGTGGATACTGCTGAGCCGGAAGGGAGGGCATTGTGGTAGGCACTCTCTCGGGTAGATTATGTCCTGGGTTAGATGAAGACATTTGTCCACGTGTAAAGCAGGGGCACAAGCACGCACGACAAGGGCACACGAAGAGGCAATTAATGGTCACGGGGCGGCGACATAAGTCTGCTAACAATTACTCTCATCCGATTGGCTTATGTGTAACCAATCAGCACTTGACTCCTCCACGTGAGGCTAACCATCCAGAAGCTATAATGGCACATGGGCCGACATGTGTGTTAGCAGCTGGTGCTCTCATTGGTCAGGATGGGCAAGCTTACTGACAAATTGCAAGGCACACATTCTACGCTAAAGGTTTCCCCACGCTTCCCACGCGAACTCAGGAATGAGCTGGCGCGGTAATGAGCTTTCTCAGGAAGCTTTAAACTGCTAGTGTTAAACAATGGTTTTCCACGCTTATCCGAAACGGTCATTAATGGATGCTAGTATACAGGTCGTCTTCTGTTAAATGCTAAAGGGTCTAGGATTACAACACGGGAATAGGTATCCTCCTCTCCATGTCGAATTTATTGTAAGGTCACCTGCCGTACGGAAATAGCTATTTACCTGTCCAATCGGGAATTCGTTCAAAACTATTACTTTCCTGGAATTTGACCATTTCCTATTAATAACTCATCAAAAGTCTCCTATGCATGCGTATGTTCCCCACAATATTACTATACAGTCAGATATGCATGCTTTGAACGTGTCTCTATTCCCACACAGCTATGGTGTGTTGGCTGTAAGAAAGGTGCGACAAATTCGCAACCCGAAAGGCATGTTTGGGTGGGATGGCTTCGGTTTAATGGTATACGTTTACTGGTAGAGACACTGAAAGAGATCAGTACACTGGTAAAACCCTCCTACCACATAGCGCATATGACCTTGCTCAGGAAACGGCCCGATGGAATTCGTAGTTTGGAATGAATTTGTTGATCAGAAACGCTTCTAATAAAGAATATATCATTTTAAGTCTACTTTATGAAAGGAAAGCAGGTCAAGTTTAAGTGAAACCATACTTTTCCTGAGATTCAAGTAATTACCTACGCCAATTAATATTACAACTCAAAACTTCTTTTTTTGTGTGTACACTGTACTATAAAATAGCATTTTGCAGGGAAAATCAAGTAAAGGTAGGTACGAGCAATCGCAGTATTTTCAATAAATAGCGGGTCGCATTCAGCCTTAAAAATGCTGCTTTATAAAGTTCTGGCGTTTTTCGTCACAAACCGCTGGAATAACCTTGCCTGGTAGAAATTTGTTTTACCACACTGCGGTGAAGCAAAAGGCATAAGTATCAACGGCATGTTGGTGCCCTTCTCTGTCACGCCAGGCAAGAAAGATGTCAAAGCCAATCCGGTCAGCAGTCGATTCTGGCCGTGTACGAAAATTGGCAGCCAAAAGGCTGTAGCATGAGTCGCTAGCTAGTATTTCCAACATTATCCGGGTCATTCTTTGGAGAACTATTAATGATAGAGCTTGGTCTAAAAATAAGCAAGGTGAACCAAAACGGTCCATCAGGAAGCAAGACGAGCACTTTTGTGGCCGTACACTAAAAATTACCCCTATATGCCCCTTAAGACAGTTCACAGGGGACATTTGTAAATGTTCTCCCGGTGCATAATAAGAAATGGGATGAAGGACTACGGCCTCTATCAGAAAGACGCCAAAAGTCTAGAAGAGAAGAAATATAGAACTGATTAGATCGTATTTTTGTTTGCTCAATAGTATATTGATAGCATTGTTTCATTCTGTAAAAAAACATCTAATCTTTTGAGGAAGTCTTACTTCAGGACAATACTCTGAAGTCCACCCAGATGGTCATTTGTGGAAATAACTCCTACGAGAACACAATGTGTCGATAGTAACTTTCATGAACCGTCGAAGCCTGATGGTTTGGATGGCCAGAAAACTTGGACAGCGACCGATCTGGCGGTCAGCAACGATGATCCGGGTTGCAACGGCAATCATCGACGTTGAATAGACGCTGTAATGTTGCAGGATGGTGATCCTGTTCACTGATCAAGGGTAGTAGTATTCTGCTTTGGCTTACAAGTATAATGCAATTATTTAGGACACAACCAGCTTCCCTGTCTGTGGCCTGGGACTGCCATAAAGGCCACTACTGACTGGTACCTGAACTTGTACTTATGATCTTCGTCCAGCGCATCTAACATATAGCCCATTTAGGCAGCAACCGCGCCGATGGAAATAAAAGTATCAGACAAGGACATTTTACGTTTATTTATCCCGGGAAACGTGGCAAGTGGAGTTTTGGCCTCGTATAATGGTTTCATTTGGCTTTGAATAGTACTTTTTTCCGGTGCCTTGTGGGTTATTCTTCGTGTTAAGCTAGAACCCCATCTCATTTTTTTTGCCCGAAGTCAGTTCTGATGGTGGCTTGTGTCGGATTCAGAAGAACGATTCGGGCTGAATTTGTAAACGCCGTTGTTCTGTGAGGGGCATAATCCATATTTGCTTACGGTGCGCCAGCTTATATAACTACACGTCTAACGCCTCCGCCATACTTTATCAGGTCTAAACAGTCAATATGGTACAGAGGTCCCTTTTGTGAGAACGCTTGAACCACGTGAAGCAGTAAAGTAGCACCTCAAGCCAGACTAGCTTGTAGCTACCCCCTCTGTGGAACAGTTTCCCGATAATGTTAGGTAGCGTTTTCCCCCACCGATATCTTGGTGCGACATGCTGTATAACTGTCACGATCTCTTAATCGTTAGCAGGGATTACTTATAAGTCTCCCACCCTCCTCGGCAGCAAACGGAAACAGGAGCTGCTCGTAATACGGATGGTTTTGCCCTAAATTCTCTAAATTCTAGGGTTAAGGGTGGGGGTAAGATTAGGGAACAGGTACAATTCTCGGCATTTAGCTCAAGGCGAGCAGTGTTACGGGAGGGGGGAGATACCAGACATAAGCGATTCCAACCTTATCCTTAAAGAGACGTACAGAAAGAGATTCGGTGTTCCATTCCGTTATCTGTTACTAAAACGTCGATCGGACGGCTTCTTGCTGCATGCGTTCTTTCTCCTATTTCTTATTGCTTTCCTATAACGCCACCGTTTGGTATAGTTAAACAAACACATTAAGAGATCTGTCTACCCCTCCCCCACCCCTCTGGTTCCCCCTCTTCTGTCACCCACATATCCAGTGGACTGTCCGAGTACTTCCGCCGTCAGGTAACGGGGTTCGCTGCAATACCTGACGCAAC